GTGGTGTGAGAGCTCAAATCACCTAGTGGAAGACTGCCAGGCTATGAGGGAGTCTTCTACTCCCCAAGAGCAGTTGGACTTCATCGCCAATGCTCGGCGCCTCGACCCGTACAACAATACATATAATGAGGGGTGGCGCCAGCATCCCAATTTCTCTTGGAGCAGCAACACCACTAAACCACCTAGTTTCCCAGCACCAGCTGGTGGTTTTCAGCAGAGGAAGCCTTTCCAGGCTAGACAGGGGCCAGCCCCACAGCAGCAGCCCTACCAGCCTAGGCAGGGGCAACCATTCCAGCAGCCCCAGCGTCAGTATGCCGAGCCAGCAGCAGCCCCGGCTTCAGATAATCAGATGACAAAGCTGGAAAATATTCTAGCTTCATTCATGACTACCACTCAGGCAACTGTCACGAGGTTGGACTAGAGCATAGCCTCACTGGAGGCAGGTCAGAGGAACCAAGGTGCCATTTTGCAAGATCTGCAGAACCAGATGGGTAGCATGGCTCGCCAAAACACTACTAGGGTACCAGGGACTCTGCCTGCCACCACTATTCCGAATCCTCGTGAGCCTCACCAGCACCAGCAGCTAGATGCCATCACTACCAAGAGTGGCAAGACCACATCTGCTGCTCCTGCCCAGCCCAGTCAAGATGAGCCACTACCTGCTTCAACACTTCCAGCTGATAATGCAGAAGTGGGGGGGAGACAAAGAAACACCTGCTCCCAAGCCACAGCCAGTGGTTAAGGAGCATGTACCTCAGCTTCCTTTCCCCACTCGCCTACATAAAGACAAGCTGGAGACTGAGTTTGCCAAGTTCATGGCAATGTTGAAGCAGGTCAACATCAGCATGCCGTTCATGGAGGCACTGTCGAAGATGCGCAAGTATGCCAAGTTCATGAAGGACCTCCTCACCAACAAGAAGAAACTTGGGGATCTTTCGATAGTGATGCTGAGCGAGGAGTGTTCTGCTATCCTGCAGAACAAGCTGCCCGAGAAGCGTAAAGACCCACGGAGTTTCACTATCCCTCTTGTTATTGGCAGCATGCATGTAGGAAAGTCCTTGGCGGACCTAGGCGCTAGCATAAATGTCATGCCTTACAAATTGTTTAAAAAGCTAGACCTAGGTGAACCTAGAGCTACTAGGATGAGCATTCAGTTAGCTGATCGTTCCATCGTGCATCCTAGGGGTATCATTGAGGATTTGCTTGTTAATGTGGGTGCATTCACATATCCTGTTGACTTTGTTATTTTGGATATAAATGAGGATGTGGATGTACCTTTGATTTTGGGTAGACCGTTTCTCGCCACCGCCAAGGCGCTTATTGATGTGCATAGTGGTAAATTGATTCTGCGTGCTGGTGATGAACAAACTACTTTTTCTATGTCTGAGAATGGGAAACACTCTCATTTGCATGATGACATAGATTACTGTGATGTGCTTGCTGATTTTGAGACCGCGCTCGCTATAACGAGTGCGGGTACTGACGATGCTCTTGAGCGTTGTATTTTGCTAGGTGAGCAGGCATCGCAGGAGTCGCAGCTGGCGGAGCAGTTGGCCGAGCTGGAGAGTGGAACATCCCTGGGGGGCGACCGGCTGTTCAAATCGATCTCTTCCTCACCCCGCATCACTACCTCCTTGGAGGAACCACCAGAGCTGGAGCTTAAGCCCCTCCCTCCTCACTTGGAGTATGCATTTCTCCGGGAGGGGAATAAGCTTCCAGTCATCATCAGCTCGTCCCTCACACCAGAGCAGAAGGACAGACTGGTGGCTTTGCTCAAGCGGCACGAGCGTGCTCTAGCGTGGAAGATCACAGATATCCGGGGGATCATCCCTTCCTTCTGCTCCCACCGGATACTGATGGAGGATGAGATGCGACCAGTGAGACAGCCGCAGAGAAGACTGACACCGAACCTGGAGGCTGTGGTTCGGGCAGAGATCGTGAAGCTGCTGGACGCGGGGATCATCTTCGCCATTTCCGACAGCGAGTGGGTCAGTCCCACCCAGGTGGTACCCAAAAAGGGTGGGATGACTTTGGTGCCTAACGAGAAGAATGAGCTGATCCCGATGCACACGGTGACTGGGTATCATGTCTGCATTGATTACCGGCGTCTCAACGACGCCACTTAAAAGGACCACTTCCTGCTGCCATTCATTGACCAGATGCTGGAGAGACTGGCGGGGCACGAGTTCTACTATTTCCTAGATGGGATGTCTGGGTACTTCCAGATACCCATTGCACCGGAGGACCAGGCGAAGACCACTTTCACCTATCCCTTCGGGCCATTTTCCTACCGGAGGATCCCGTTCGGGCTATGTAACGCCCCCGCCACTTTTCAGCGGTGCATGCTCGCCATCTTTAACCGTCTGGTCGGCGAGATTATGGAGGTGTTTATGGACGACCTCTCGGTTTACGGAGACTCATTCTCTCACTGTCTCCATAACCTGGAACTCGTCCTTAAACGGTGTGAAGAAACGAACCTGGCACTGAGTTGGGAGAAGTGCCACTTCATGGTTCGCGAGGGCATAGTTCTGGGTCATAAGATCTCCAAGATGGGGATTGAGGTGGACAGAGCAAAGATTGAGACTATCAGCAAGCTGCCTCCTCCTACATCTGTTAAGGGGATCCGGAATTTCTTAGGCCATGTAGGGTTCTACAGGCGGTTCATCAAGGATTTTTTGAAGATCGCCCTGCCCCTGACTAAGCTTCTTGAGAAGGATGCCCCCTTCCAGTTCACTGATGCATGCACAGCGGCCTTTACGACCTTGAAGGAGAAGGTCACTCAAGCTCCTATCATGGTTGTTCCTGACTGGTCCCTGCCATTTGAGTTGATGTGCGATGCCAGTGAATTTGCTGTTGGAGCTGTATTGGGGCAGAGGCGAGATCAACACTTCCAACCTATCTACTACGCCTCGAAGACCCTGAATGATGCCCAGGAGAACTACACCACCACGGGGAAGGATCTGCTCGCGATGGTGTTTGCCTTCAATAAATTTTGTCCTTATCTGGTCTTGTCCCATGTGACCGTGTATACAGATCACTCCGCGATTCGATACCTGATGAGCAAGGCCGATGCCAAGCCTAGGCTCATACGATGGATCTTACTGTTGCAGGAGTTTGATATTGAGATTCGGGACAAGAAGGGAGCGGAGAATGTTGAAGCCGATCACCTCTCCCGATTGGATGCACCCCCTGCGGACAACCTCAAGGAGGAGATCAACGACTCCTTCCCAGATGAGAGACTAATGATGATGTGCCTGGTGGAGACTGTCACCCCCTGGTATTCTAATTTTGCGAACTATCTGGTGGGCCAGCAGCTGCCCAAGGGGATGACAACCCACACCAAGAGAAAAATTTTCTCCGACCGGAAGCACTACTTCTGGGATGACCCTCATCTCTTCAGGATCGGAGCCGACGGGATAATCCGTCGATGTGTTATGGAGAGTGAGATGGAGGGCATTCTATCTCACTGTCATGAAGGACCTACTGGCGGTCACCACGGAGGAAACCGCACAGCGAGGAAGGTGCTACAGTCGGGCTTCTACTGGCCCACGCTCTTCAAGGACGCAGACACCTTCGCACGCAGGTGCGACCGATGCCAGAGGTCAGGTAACATCTCTACCCGTGATGAGATGCCCCAAAAGTGTTTATAACTTGTGAGATTTTTGATGTCTGGGGTATCGACTTCATGGGCCCCTTCCCTCCATCTTTTGGTAATACCTATATCCTTGTTGTTGTTGACTACGTCTCTAGGTGGGCTGAGGCGCAAGATTTGCCCACTAATGATGCTAGACGTGTTTGTGGTTTTCTGAAGCAACTATTCTCCCGGTTCGAGACACCTAGAGCCATCATAAGCGACCGAGGCACCCATTTCCAGGGCCAGTTCGATAAGTTGCTGTCTCGCTATGGTGTAACTCATAAGGTGTCTGTGGCCTACCATCCTCAAACAAGTGGTCAGGCCGAGCTGACAAACCGGGAGCTCAAGCGTATCCTGGAGAAGACGGTGAACCTATCCCGCAAGGATTGGTCCACCAAGCTCGATGATGCTCTATAGGAATACCACACTGCCTACAAGACACCCATTGGTACTTCACCGTACCGGCTTGTCTATGGAAAGGCATGCCATTTTCCCGTGGAGCTAGAGCACAAGGCTTTCTGGGCCCTTAAACTGCTAAACCTGGATGTTAGTGTTGCAGGTGTTGAGCGCAAAATGCAGATGCTGGAGCTGGAGGAGTGGCGTTATCACGCCTATGAGAACACCAAGCTATACAAGGAGCGCACTAAGCGCCTGCACGATGCACGGTTGCGGGGTCCGAAAGAGTTCCAGGTTGGTGATCGAGTTCTCCTTTATAACTCTCGCCTGAAGCTCTTTCCCGGAAAACTCCGTTACCGGTGGTATGGACCGTACACGGTCACACAGGTGTTCCCGTATGGCACGATCGAGATTGCCAACCCGCAGAATGAACCATTTAAAGTGAATGGCCATCGTCTCAAACTTTACTTGGGAGGCGAGGTCGAATGGGCGGAGTTGGCAGTGGACTTCGCGGACCCTTAGTTCCGCCATGAGCGTCCAGCTAAAAGACGGTAAAGAAGCGCTTGTGGGGAGGCAACCCCACCACGGTTTGCATTTCTACCCTTTGTTTTTTTTTTTCATTTTTTGTCTGTTTTTGAGTCTTTGAGTCTGTCTGGAAAGTATTTCGTGCCTCGGGCGGTTCGTTTTAATGTGGGATTGGGTAAATCTTAGAGCCAGGGCACGAATGAGTCTTGGTGGTTTGAAATTGGAATTTTGAAAAAATGCAGATTGGGCTCGGCACTAAAAGCACAGGCGCCAGGGGAGGAAAACACAGCCGTGTTTTCCCTCCTGCCCGCCCTTGTTTTAGACTTTGGCCAGCATTGCTCGCGGCAGTAAAAACACGGGCGCGGAGCACGCCGAACACGGCCGTGTTCCAGCCCGCCCATGGTTTGCCTCCCCCCTATAAAAGTCGATTTTCAGCCCCCCTCCCACCAGATTCATTTTTTTCAAATTCCAACCGCCTCTCTTGCCGGAAACTCGGATTTTCCCTCTTCCCCTTCAATTTTCCGGCCATAACTCCCTCTCCCGACCTCCAAATCACAAACCACGACCGCCCACACGCTCCTGGCGTCGAGGAGCACAATCCCCAAAGGTTGGGCTTGTTTGGCCGAGGTTGGGCTTGTGATACCATATAAATTGTTCAAGAAACTAGGCCTAGGTGAACCCAGTGCAACAAGGATGAGTGTTCAATTAGCTGACCGATCTATAGTTCATCCTAGGGGCATAGTAGAAGACCTTCTGGTTAAGGTTGACAGATTCTTTTATCCTGTGGATTTTGTTATCTTGGACATCAATGAAGACATAGAAGTGCCCCTTATACTTGGAAGTCCTTTCCTGGCCACCGCCAAGGATTTCATAGATGTGCATGATGGGACCTTAGTCTTGAGGGATGGTGAGGAGCAAATAACATTTTCCATTGCTAATACTCTCCCTGCTTCATCGCCGTTGCATGCTGTTTCTCACCAGGAGCACGAGTTTTTCGTGTATCCTTTTGTGCTTCCCATTTTGCAGGATCCCTCTCACATATCTTCGCCGCCACTCCCGTCCACTCCGTTACCAAAAGACAAGATCAAGGAGGAGTGGCGACCAAAACTGCAGGTAGCCCAGCCTGCTCAAAAGAAAGCCGGAGACCACTATGAGCTAGTCCCGCCTCCTGAGCCTCGACCACCTTGGCCATCCGAGTATTCACTCGCTTGCATCCTGCCGGATGGCCAAGTCGAGTTGACGAGTGCTGGTGGGCACACCCGCCGTGTGCATGGCCACCACCTGAAGCTGTACCTCAAGAGCGATGTGGATCCGCTCTTGAAGGCACCTGCTCCTACACCTCTCTGAGCATTCACCTACTGGCGTCCAGCTAAAAGACGGTAAAGAAGCGCTGGTGGGGAGGCAACCCCACCAAGGTTTGTTTTTTCTTCATTTTTTTCCGGTTTGTCCACTTGGAACTATGGTTTCTATCACCCAGTATGTTTTGATGACTCTAGACCTGCTGACTGGTCCACTTCCAGTCTCCCACAGTCCATATTCCTGGTAACATCGTTCCCCCTTATATTTCCCTTGCTCCATTGAGTGCAATGTCGTGCTTAAGTGTGTGTTTGTGTGTGTGGGGGGGGGGGGTATTTCTCTATCTATGACTGCTAGATGAGTTTGTGTGCTTGGAGCCTAGTCCACTGTCCAATTTGATGAATTGAGAGCTCCAAGTACTGTTCCTTGCAAAATCCTGCTCAGTATGCTTTGAATTGACAGTCTTTATGGTGATATGCAACCTAGGGAGGTAGTTGTAGTACTATGGAGGATGTTGAAGTATAAGATTTTTCCTATCTGTCTCTCTGCTGTGCCGGTTGATTTTGTGAACTAATGGATTTAGGACCGTTGATTCATGTGGTACTGATGACTCTTCTTATGTTGTGTTGTGGACTCGTGTATCGAAAAAGGGTGCTCAAGTGTGAAATGAAAAAAAAAGCAGTTGGTCCTCCATGTCAAAAATTTCAAATTCTAAGACATGGGATAAGCCCAACGTGTGTGGCACCGTTCATTGCACAAAATCGGGTTTTGGAAGAGATTTTAGTGATCTTTGGTGGGGTAGGCCTACAAGGTGAAGCTAAGTTGTCTCTAGTACAAGTAAAATTTCCACCCGTTGAACGGTTTGCCTACTTGAGGATGTGTTTTTAAGGGCACGGATAGAGCTTCCGACCCCCCTTAATTTCATTGACCCTCCACAAGAGTTGAGGAAAAGGAGTTAAAAGAAGTACTCTGGCGAACGACAAATGTACAAAAATTGCTCTTGCTCGACTAATAAGGGTCGGCCGTGCAAAAGACTGCAGTTGGAACTCCCGCCAAGTGAATGAAAAGAAAAAAAAAAGAGTAAAATGAAAGTGAAAAAGGGGTTCCAACGGTATAATGAAGTGAAAGAGCACCCCGGTACAACGAGTCCTTGGTTGTGAATGGTGAGAGTCTCCTTATCCATGAATTGACTGTCTTAGTTCCACTGCTTCTCATGATCCTGGCTTGAGTCTAGTACTCGCATTGAGAGAGATAGGAGGCATCTTAGAAGACCAGTTGACCTCGTAAGTTGCTAAATGATCTAGAAAATCCTCTGTCGACGATCGGGGTTGCATGTTGCTATAGAGGTCTGGTAGGGGTGGATTTTCGGTTATCTCGGTTATAACCGATAACCGAAATGTCGGTTACCGGTTAACCGCGACGCCCAACACGCCTACCGCCAACCGCCCGACGGAGCCCATCGGTTATTCGACAACCGACCAGTCGGTTACCGGTTAGTTGCTCGGTTAACCGAGTTAACCGCAAAATCGAAACTCAAAGACGGAAACAGTCTGGTGGTTCGGTTGACTGACTCTCCTCTCTTCCCCACCCAAACCTGCTTCTATTCTTCCTCCTCCTCCATATCTCTGCACCACTGAAATGGAAGAATAGAGGGGTTCACCTGCCAATATAAGCACCGGGGAAATCGAATACGATCGCACTTCTTGTCCCAATCGGAGCCCTCTGTCGACAGTGACGAGGCTCTTACCTCCGAGTACAATAGCGACTCCCATCCAAAGCCCCGGCCTGGTCCTACTTACGACTTCCTGCCCGGCGGGCGGCCCAAGAGCAAAGACTCGCCAGATCGCCGTCGGCATACTCCGGAAGCAGTTCTTTCACCGCCACCGTCGTGTCTTCGTTCAGATACGCCTGAAATTGGAGAGAACTCAGATTACGATCACCGCCTCAATCAGTTCAATCGAAGCCGAGAAACACTATCACTCGCCTCAGCGATCTTGCAAACGGCGTAGTGACCTTCCTTTCCCCAGCCGAGAGCTCCGGTGACGAACTGGAGAAGAAGAAGTGGCGGAGCAGCAGGGGCGCCGGCCGCCGATCGTGGAGGGAGATGGCGGAGTAGCAGGCGGGCGGCGGCACAGAGTGCTCTTCCCGTCGCGATGCAGAGAAGAGAAGGGAAGGGGTGGGCGGGTGTCTTCGATTAGGGATTTAGGGGTGGGCCGGTTAGTCGGTTAACCGGCGGTTATCGCCCTCGGTTAGCCGGTTAACCGCGACGCCTAACTCCCCTACCGAACACCGCCCGAGAACATAATTTTCGGTTAGTCGGTTAACTGGTAACCGCCGGTTATCGGTTTAACCGGCCGGTTAACCGGCAACCGATAACCGAACCTCCAGCCCTAAGGTCTGGAGAGTTGCATTGGTTTGAGTCAGGTTTGCTTGGGGACAAGAAAACGGTTAAGTGTGGGGGAGTTTGATAAACCGTTAATTGCACATGTTTTTACCCCTATTCTTGAGCCGTTTGAGATGTTGATTCTCGTGTTTTAGGCCAATTTCACGCTAGGTTGTTCTTGTTTGTGATATTTCAGGTCCTAGTATGTGAATAAAGGTTTGGGAGCGAGTTCGGGGTCGATTGGACGAAGATCGGACGTGTGGCGAGACCCTAAGGAAGCCACAAGGGCACTCCTAAAACCCACACGGCCGTGTAAGAAACCCATGTGGCCGTGTGGGATTTACCGAGGCTTCACACGGGCATACTGGAGATTCTACAAGGCCGTGTGTCTCTGACCGTGTAGGTAGCCTGAAGTCCATTTATTCGAAACGCCGCGTTTTGACACCCACACTTGCAGCTGGGTAAGCCACACGTCCGTGTGGCCTGCTCGTGTGAGTCGGGAATTATGGGTTTTAACCCAATTTCGAGCCACAAGTGAAGGAATCGACTTTTCAGAGCAAAAACAGATCCCTAGAGAGAGAAAGTGCGAAGAACTCATCCTAGAAGCGATCTTGGAGCTGGGTTTCATCAATCGAGCTTGGAGATCATCATAGGAGTGAAGATTATCATGAGTAGATTCTTCCCATTGTTATGAGTATGACTGCTTTGTATCTTGTTTCTCTCTCTCTCTCTCTCTCTCTATGGAGTAGAACCCTCTTTCACTTGGGTATGAAGAACCCTAGTTCCATGTGTTAGGGATCATGATTGTAATGACTTGGGATTGCAATACTGTTTGGTTTAATCGAATGATGCATGATTCATTGAATTGATTGAAGTGTGATCAGCTTTTCTTTATTTCTTCTGCAACCTGAGATAGATTAGAATCTGATTAGGTTGTTAGAGCTTCTTCATTCGGTAGTAGTAGATTGGCTATACGAGAGTTAGTCAGTCTACTGCTTTGTACTGGAATCCAATTCCAGTAGTGGAGTTCTGTGCTTATTGCTTCAGCTTTCTATCCCGGTGAAGACAAGTCGTCTGCCGGGAAGTTAGACTGAGAGGGCTTGGTCAGCTTAAGAGATTCCAAGCTACTGTCGGATCTTCCGCAGTTTAATCAACTGTAAATCAACCCAGGGTAATTACAACTGAGACCTAACTAAGGAGCTAGGGGGACTCATTCCCGAGTGACTCTTCCTTTGCTTTAGAAAACCGAATAATTTCCTGCTTTCTTACTGCTTTTAGTTAAAACAACAACCAATCGACTTAGTTGGCTAGATAATAGATACTCACGGAGTAGGCAGTAGATCTAGACCCCGGGTTGATAATTAGAACTTGCCACTTTACTACATTCCTGGACTGCGATTACACTTGGTCGCAGTTTGGTGTTGTGTCGTAGCGTGTCAGTTACTGACGCCGAGTGAGTTCACCATCACCAAGACCGTGAACTTTGAGTGTAAACTGTGAACTCAAGTGAGTGAAGCGGTGCGTTTCGATACAGCACTCCGAGTTCACGGACGCGTTGAGTAGTTCACGGCCGTGAACTGAGCCCAATCCCAGTGTATAGTGTGAGCTGAAAAGAAGAGAGAGGGAGAGCCCCAAGGGGGGAGAGCCTTCTTCTTGAAACCCTAGAGAGAAAAAGTGAAGAACCAAGAGAGAGAGAAGAGGCTAGGGTTTGCTCCAAGTGAAGATTTTGGAAGATCCTCTCCCGAAGAGGAGTTCTACAAGCACAAGGAGGGTTGGAGGCATCACAATGATGGTTTCTTTCTTCTTCCTTTGTGTTATTCCTTTATCTAGCACGGAGTAGTTTTCTTTTTCACTTGGGTGTTGTAGAACCCTAACTCCTATCATGTAATTGATTGTGTGGATTGAATGATTCTATGATGGAGGTGTTTAATTTAAGGTTTGAGGTATTGTTCATGAATGATTGTGTTGTGTGAAAGCCTATCAATCTAAGTGCCATTCTAACCTAGATTAGAGAAGAGACCTCCTTTGGTTAAGAGGCTCTTTTACAGATGGGTTTCCTTGGGCACTCCATGCCTCCTATTCTAAGTTAATTAAGAGCAAACCTCTAAGCTTGTATTAGACATCTGGGTTAATTGTGATTATATCGTCCAAACCCTTGGTTTGAGGGAGAAGGTAAGTCAACCCTCAATTGCCTCGTCACATGCCGCTTCATTCAATCCCATAGTTCTTGGTAGTTCGTTAGGGGAAAGCAACACCTGAGTGAAGCTCCTCACCTAGATTCCACCCATTTTACCTTACTTGCTTATTTTCATTTGTAGTTATCATAGTTTTAAACCCAAAACCGTTTTGTTAGATAACAACTTAATCGATTGAAGTAGGGGTACATGGACCGACCCAGGTTTGACAATTAAATACTTGCCCTATACTGCACCCAACTAGAGTTTAAAAACATAGGCTCTAGTCAGGATTAATTCGCGATGTAGTGTCGTGCGAGTCAAGTTTTTTGCGACGTTGTCGGGGAACCATTCTAGGTTATTTTAAAAAGGGTTAGGTTGTTACTTTAGCCGTTTTGTTTTGTGTTTGTTGACCCACTCTTCTCTTAGAAGGGTGGTTTGTGTTTGTTTGATTCTGTTTTTGTGTTTTTGTTTGTTTAGCTTATGAATCATGGATCCCAATGGCTTCTACAATATGTGGGGGTATCCACAACCACCCGAATGGGGGTACCCCGGAGCTTCATGGAGTGAACAAAAAGGGGGAAGCTAAGGATCCGGGTTCTATTACCAACCCCCCTTCCAAGAAGAAAAACCATACCATTGGGGATATGAAGAGGCTTTCCCATATCAAGAAGATTTCCCTCCACAACCCAAGGAGAAATCCAAGTTGGAGTTGGCCATGGAAGCCTTCATGGGACAATCATCAAGACCATGTGCCACTCCACAACTGGAGCCAAAGAGAAACTTGGAGCTCATGGTGGAGAAATTTGCCCGGGGTACCGACGAGGGATGCTCCAATTTGGACCTTCCCATCACCGACCATATCGACTCAACCTTTCTTTGGGAATCAGAGGAGCTCCTTCGACGCACGGAGAGGCTAGGAGGGCTTGTAGAGCAAACATGTGCACAACTTGCTCACAATCGCCTCCTACCATTGGAAGAAAGAGAGGAAGTCTAAGAGGCGAGCCATGATAATTTTGGAAGAACGAGCTCTGACATGGATTTCCAACTCCTCCCTTCTCCTGGTTTGACACTTGAAGAGAAAGTGGCTTGAGATTGTGAAAGTTACCGCCTCTCATCATTGGAGGAGAAGGTGGAACGGGCTTGTGCAAGCTATCTCCTCTCATTATTGGATGAGAACGAGGAGGTTGAAAGGGCGATCACTGACAACCATATGGAGCAAGAGGAACTCACCCCGGAGAGCTCTCGCGGTGAGAACGAACAAGAAGGTTGCATTGACGACTCTCATCATCTTCCCCTTCCCGAAAGCAACTTTGAAGACCAAGACACGAGTGTGGAGGAGCAAGAGAATCCCTTTTATGATCTTGCATGGCATCTTGACCTCCAAACCGTGCTTGGGGACACGAATGGGAAGGAGAAGGAAGAGGTTGAAGAGTAGGAAGAAAGCATTGAAGAAGGGGAAGATCTTGAGCGTTCCCAAGGGGAGGAAATTGAAGGAGAAGGAAGGGAGGTTGAAGATGAAGTAGAAGGAGCAAGTGGCATCCAAGATGAGTACGAGATAGAGGTGGATGAAGCATCCACAAGTTACGAGAGCTATGAAAGCTTTCCACCCGACCTCGATGCGCTTTTGGAGAAGGACCAATTTGCGACTCTTTGCCAAGCCAAGGCCAAACCATTGGCAATCCCTCTTGGTGGACGCGATGTTGGTAAATCGATGATGCATTACATGGTGTGGGGCAAAGAGAAAGAATGAGAAGGAAAGAAGGAGAGGTCTCGTGGGTGGAGCCTCATGACAACTCAAGTTCACGAGCCCTCAATCATGGAATCGTCCAATGTTTGTGACTTGAGACATAACCTCACCGACGATAACCTCAACTTCAAGGAGGTTCTAGGATGGACCGAAAATTGAGGAGAAACCGTCCAGCTCACACTTTTAAAGAAACGCTTGGTGGGAGGCAATCCATCTACCATCGATTTGTTTGCTTTCCGCTCCAATAAGAAGACCATTGGAGAGATTTTGGTGGTGTTTTGCCGTATCCCTGCTCTTCTTGATCTCGCCCGACCTCCGATCCCTACCACCAACATTCACATCGTATCTGGTAACATCGTTCTACCTCCTTACTTTACACCATTGAGGGCAATGTCGAGTTTAAGTGGGGGGGGGGGGGAGTAGTCCATTATGCATGTTTGTGTTAATGATTGGTGTGATTTTGAATGTTGTGTGCATCCTATTATGATGATTGAGACTTGTATTAGGTTTATGCATAGGTTCATTCCTCATGTGTTTGTGAGCCGATAG